GAGAGAGAGAGAGAGAGAGAGAGAGAGAGAGAGAGAGAGAGAGAGAGAGAGAGAGAGGGCATGGAGCACAGCAACCCATTTCCATGCTCCCAAGGGAGAGAGGGAGGTGGCACAAATGGTAAGGAAGATTATCGAGCCAGACGAACAAGCTACAAAGCAATTAATTCACAGAACTTTCAAAACTTCAGAGCTGAAGAGGCAACAATTAGTGCACAGAAGAAAAGACATGAGCATACTCAACGTGGAACACGTGTGGCGTGCATTGGTAGCGTAAACTCTGCACTCCGGTGTGCAAATGCATACTGCTTGCATCCACCCTCACTTATGTATACTCCAGGGTCACCACAATCATTAATGGAATTTTGAATTTATTTTTCCTTGCTAACAAAAACTGTTTGCTGCAAAACCTTGCCAATCCTGGCATAAGAAAAGCTAACTGAGAGTTACTGAGTTGAATTAACTGAGTTGAATTAACAAAAAATGACTGAATGAATGTCAACATACCAATGGATGGAACAATTCAGCTACAGAATTTACCAATGCCATCGTCGATTTCCGACTTCGTCATCCACCAGTGATGTCATGTTTAGTTCAGCTTGTTGTCATCAACACGCTCTCGTCACCATGTCCTGCATCAGCTTCTCCTTCACAAAAAAAAATCCCCCAGCTTGATAAGAAAAATGAACTGAAGCGGTTGCGTTGCTACGTCGCTCGGACTTGCTCCACCTCCAATTCCCCGAAGTAGACTTACAGAATGCTGTACACGCCGTGTACATGCTACACCGTTCGACACGCACACCACTCATATCAACTGTGGCATATCTAGCAAGCAATCTCGCTTACACTTTGTTTCCGATCAACTTGTACCCTCACATACGACACAGACCGAGACCTTAGCTCCTCTGCACAAGAATTGCACCGCACTAAGGAATCAAACACATGTGAGCCATCGATCTAAAGAATCAACGCATGTGAGCCATCGATCTAAAGAATCAACGCATGTGAGCCATCGATCTAAAGAATCAACGCATGTGAGCCATCAATTTAAAAAATCAACGCATGTGAGAAGAATCAACGGCCATAAGATGTTAGTAGTCAGCTTGTTTCTAGTGGAGTGGAACGATCCTGAATCGGACGATGATATGTTGGATAGCCTTCACTACCATGAGAAGTATGGCCATGCTACACACTCGGAAAGTGGGACATAACAGAGGGGGTACGCGTACCGTGTGTCCCTGCGGGGACCCGCCTTTTGCACACCCGCGCATTTCCCTGACCGGATCGGTTGCAAGACAGAATACAAATTTGCAACTAGAACCCTAGTGTAAATCCACATGATACAATTCTGACACGTCTCTAATCGGCACACCAAGCGCTTGGGATACCGACTGTCCCTGCATGGACCCGCCCTTCGCACACCCATGCGCCTCCCCAACCGCATCGGTTGCGATGCAGAACACAAATATTTGCAACTAGGACCCAAATGAAAATCCACACGATGCAATTCTGCCAGGTATCTAACCAGCACACCAAACGCTCGGGGTACCGACTGTTCCTGCAGGAACCCGCCCTTCACACACCCGTGCCTCTCCCGGGCCGCATCGGCTGCGAGACAGAATATAATTTTGCAACTTGGACCCTAATGTAATTTACATGATTAGTTTCTGACAGAACACTAACCCGAACACCAAACGCTCACAAGTGATAGGTGTTTCTCTCGTCACCCGAGTACCCTTTTGCCACTGGGGTGCGGATTCCGAGGAGGTGTTAGCAGTCTTTAACGACTGTGCTGGAGTTGACGATTAGGAGGTTTTGTGTTGCGCAGTTCAAGTGGCAGCTGTTGCATAAGCGATGATTGTTCTTCGGCGGTGCGCAACGAGCAAGTGATTGAATGGGCGATCATACAGGCAGCAGAGTGGAAACACAGTTCCTCCACAACCAAATGTGGAAACGGAAGGCAATTGTTCGACAGAATGACAAGTCGCGAACATTGGGGAGGGAACGAGCAAGTGATTGAATGGGCGATCATACAGGCAGCAGAGTGGAAACACAGTTCCTCCACAACCAAATGTGGAAACGGAAGGCAATTGTTC